CCCCAAAACCCCAAAACCCCAAAACCCCAAAACCCCAAGTAGCTGGGATATTATTGATAAGTCTATTAATAAATTAACATGGAGGGACCAATTCCATTTTCATCAACTATTTCAGATAGTGAAGACGAAACTAATGATAGTTGAATAATATACATGGTAAGTAATTCCACATTAGTGATGTAAGCCAGAAAATACACTTGGTTTTAACAATAACTATAGATATACCTCAGTGTGCTCCTAGTTTTATCTGTATTAACTGTAGTGCTGACATGATGGTGGACTACAAAGTTCTTCTTGCTATTCAAAACTAGGAAGAAACTCACAACTATCTTTTTATTCGTACTGACTCTCTCATCTGTGGCCAGACTTGCATATTTCATTACTGAAATTATTTGGAGGCAAGGAGAATGAAGTATTTCTGTGTCAAGATGAGGTGAAGAACCTATATATTGGCTATCAGCAACCTTATTCTCTTCTGCCATCGTCATAAATATTTTTAACTGGATCTATCAGACCTTGAGAATGAAGAAGTTTATTACTGGGGTGAGGCAAAAGCAGGTGGTCCATCATGTCTTATTCGCATGCTTCTCAGGGCTGGTCTTGTTAGCGTACTTTATGTTTTTATTAGGCGTTTGAGTCTTTGATGAAGGAGACTCGGTTGTTGGAAGGATTTTCACGCTTTTTTACGGAATAACTTTCTTTTTCATAGCAGTTGTGTTTATATTTGTTGGATGGAAGTTTTATAAAGAATATAAGAAGTTCTTTGAAGATAGAGCTAAAAAAATTTAAATGCAAGATTATTCTTAGTATTACAGTTATTTCTAGTACGTTTGCGATGAAAGGGCTTGTAAATATTGGTAAGATACTCATATAACCTTTTAGCATACTTTTGGGGAGATCTAAATTCGCGCTTCAGATCAGAATGGTTAAGGACAAACACATTATGGTATCCTCTTCTACTCTTCTTTTATTTTACAATAACAGAGATATTCCCAACAATTTTTCTTTGAATGGGAGTCAGAAGCATTTCTCATCAGCTTAAAAAACAGAACGAAGAAGACAATAAATGAAACCTTGCAATTACAAACACATCGAATGGGACCTTGGCAGAGTCGTTGAACTCTGTTTCGAACATATCAGTTGCAAGAGATATTTCTCGTTCGGCTCCATAAAATCTTGGGTATGGATTCTATTAAAATTCAATAAAATCATACTTTTCTAAAATGACTTTCCCTCCTCTCAATTCCATTATAACGCTCCTAAAACTCGGCAAGGCACATACAATTTTTCAATAAAATATCATTTACGAAACCGCACAAACTCACAAAAACCTGAGGATGAATTCTTTTCAATTATCCCAATTACTATATATAATTTCAATTTGCCTAATCCTTTCTGGGGTTTTGGGGTTTTGGGGTTTTGGGGTTTTGGGG